CTCTTGTTTTCCATATGATATAAGTTGTTCAATGTATAAATAAAATGTTGGTCCAGTGAATATATATGGTCGTCTCTTGTTAAGATGGGTATCTTGTGCACATGCTTGAATTCATTAATTCAACGCATGCAAAAGATTAAATGAACTATTAGTTCTTTTACTGAAACAAAGATTATTCCTGTAAAAGTTACAAAGTATGCACATAGTGTTTAGGTTTTACATAGTGTGTCTTTTAGTTCTTGTATGTCTAGAATTTGGAACCCTTTTCAATGATACTACTTTTTATAGATTTGTGATTTTAACATTACTTGATTCTCATTATATGGATCAACATCAGATTCTTTTATTTCTCTTAGTCAATCCGTAGTATGAAATGATGAAATTCATATACTATTCAATCCTATCATTCTATGCTAGGGTAAATTTTAATTTTAGGTTTGATGTGTATTAAATTTGTATATGTGTCGGTATATAATTACATATCCAAAACCCTATTTTGATAGTAATCTATATCCTTCAATTAACTAGGTTGAAATTCTTTGTACTAACCAACCGGTTTTATTTAAATGATTTAAGTATGTTAAGGCTGTGAACTAACCCTTATATTAACCTACTTAATTTAAAAGTTTAATCAAAGAAAACAATTAACAATGGATTAATTTCTTATACCCGATTTGCTGTATTGTTAGATATTTGACAATTATCTAATTTGGTACTTGGTTGTGATAAAAATTAGACAAATTATTATAAAAAAGGCTTTATAAAAAAAAGTCTGCTTAGTTAATCATATATCATTTAGTACCTTATTACTTATACACTACAAGAAAATAGTCTTTTCGTAGCGATTTTACATTCGCTACAATATGCACATATGTTTGTGAAATAGTAGTGGAATCTGTATCATTTCACAATCGACATAGTAAACCCATATGAAATCAATATGAATAATAATATTTATTCACCATTTTTATGCACATTTATAAAATTATGGAAAACCGTATCGTTTACAATCGCCACTAAAACCAAAAAATTGATACGAAAAGCCTTTTTTACACACTAGTAGAAAAAACTAAATAGGCAACCCCCCTATGGCAGCGGTTCATGAAAACCGTTGCCAACTAAAATGAGCGCCAATTAAAATTTCAGAGTTGGCAACGGTTAACCGTTGTCAACTGATTATTTTTTTTTAAAAAGAAAAAAAAATAAAAGGGTTAGAGTTGGCAACGGTTAACCGTTGCCAACTGATTATTTAAAAATAATAAAAAAAAATAATAAGAGGATTAGTGTTGGCAACGGTTAACCGTTGCCAATTAAAAAAAAAAAAATTTGGGCTCCTTTTATTCTTTCCCTCAGTCGCCCCTCTATCTCTCTCTCAAATTCATTCTCGTTCTCTCTCATCTCCCTCAAATTCATTCTTGTTCTCTCTCATCTCCCTCAAATTCATTATTCATTCAGAGCTCCTTCTCTCTCATCTCCCTTAGAATTATCTCCAAAATCTCGCATGCACCTCAGATCTCTCCAATTCATATTCGCAAGGTTTTTTTAGATTTTTTTTTGGTTTTTTTCGTGTTTTAATTTCTGGGTTCGAAATTTTTTCGTTTTTTTGGGGTTTTTCTAGGTTCGAATACCTGGTTTTTTTTTTTTTTTTTTTTTTCTCGTTTTTTTCTCGTTTTCTTAGTTTCTTGAATTTTTTGGGTTTAAATTTCTGGGTTTGGATTTTTTTCGAATTTTTGGGTTCGAATTCCTTTGGTTTTTTCTGGGTTTTTGCGTTCGGATTGTTTTCTGGGTTTCGAATTTGATTGGTTCGAATTTTTTTGGTTTTTTCTGTTTAAATTTCTGGGTTTCTGGGTTCAGATTTTTTCAGAATTTTTTAGGTTCGAATTCCTTTGGTTTTTTCTGGGTTTTTTGTTTCTAGTTTTTTTGTTAGTTTTTTCTGGGTTTATTAGGTTCGTTCTAGATTATTGGTTTTTTCTGGGTTTATTAGGTTCTAGATTAAAACGTAACAATGGTTTTTTCTTTGTTTAATGTTCTGGGTTTATTAGTTTCCAGGTTATTGGTTCGAATTTTTTTTTCTGATTTTTGGGGTTTTAATTTAATTGATGCAGGTAGTATTACAACTACAGTGATTGCTCATAGACGAAGGATTCAAGATTCAAGGATTTGGTGTTTTGTTGTTCATTGTTACGTTTTTATTTATATAATTTTTTTATAAATTGTAAAATAACAATTTATTTAATATAATATATTCATGTATATTATGGTGTTCATTGTTTTTCTGGTGTTTTGTTGTTCATTGATACGATTCTGGTGTTTTTTTTTTTCGGTTTAAACGATTATGGTGCAAGTTGATGCTGATTTTGAACTGTAAAAAAAAAAAAAAAAGTCAATGGCACCGGTTAACCGGTGCCAACTACATTAAATTTAATTAAAAAAAAAGGCGCCATAGCAATTGGCAACGGTTAACCGTTGCCAATTTGTTGAGTTGGCAACGGTTAACCGTTGCCAATTGCTTAAGTTGGCAACGGTTTTGAACCGTTGCCAATTATTTTGGGATTTGGCAACCCTCTAATACGCAACAGTTCAAAACTGTTGCCTTTGGGGGGGGGGTTTGAACCGTTGCCAATTTGCTCTATTCGTGTAGTGACACTAGATTTTAAAAATTTGTTTGATAAAGAAAACATAAAATATGTCATAGCTTCTTGGATAAACATTTCATATTAAAGCTTGAGGTTACATGTTCATAGATCATATGTAGGGATTTTTTTTATTTTTTTTTTATTTTTTTGTAGAAAATGAATTCAACATTTGTAGCGATTCAATAATCACCATGATTGAATGTTGTTTTCCGTATCGATTAACAAGGACAACCCCAGCAAAAGAGAAAAACACTACTAAAGGCTATGGCAACGACGAATATTTTATCGAATAACCATTCGTTGGAATTTTTTATTTTTTTTATTTTTTGTAGCAATTACAATCGATACAAAATGTTAAAATAATCGATACGAAAAGGTATTTTTCTTGTAGTGATATCAGGTCATATTAGAAAATATAAGTTAAGACCAAGCATTATCGTTATATTTGCTATTTTGTGCTTTAATTTTATAATAATAATAATAATTATGAAAATTACATATTTGGAAAATGTACCTTAATATAAATCTAGTATCTTTACTTACAAATCAACAAAGGTTAAAGTTTAGTCAAATTAGACAATTTTTAATTAGATATAATTAACAAAAAGTAAATTTAAATCGGATCATATGAGAACGAAAAAATAAGATGAACTAAACATAACCAAATTTGTTACCGATTTGGATTGTATTATCTATCTAGGATTCTAGGTCAACTATCTAGTGAATGTAAAATAAAATCAAAGGAGGTATTTCTTATATAGGGCTGCTGGCTAAGGTGGGGTAGTCGATCGAGTTGTCTATTTAAGGTGGGGTTTGTAGGTTAGGGTGCATAAGCAAGTCGGCAAGTTTGAGTTTGTTGGCCTAAGCAATTAAAATAGATGTTATGATGTGAAATTGAGTATCACGTGTTAAGGATTTTAGTATAACATGCTTATGCTCCAGCTTATCTGACCATTTTATCTCCTATGATTTCATTTTCTTGTATTTGTTTATACAGACAAAAACATAAATCACACTGATTGGTGAATTCCTGTTTGAAATTTTGTTTATAATCCCTTTTCAAACTTTTAAATTTTTGAAAAAAAAATAAGATAGGAAGTTATTGAAACATATTTGTAACAGCATGCATTTTTCTTTTATTTTTTTTTGAGGAACGTTTTCTTTTTTAAAATAAAATGTTTTTCATAATTGTGATACTAGAGATGGAAGTATATTGGGTTGAAAATACATAATTGAATATCTTTTAGGAATTTTGCAAATAAATGTGGATCAAGATGTTGACAAGCCATAAGGTGACAACAAACCTAAATTCTTGTACTCAAATAAGCTTTGGGGAATATATATATAAAAGAAAGGCTAGTGGTTGAGTTAAATTTAATACAATATACTCCTTAGTTTGTTAGGATTTGCTTACTTTAATTTAGCTATGCATGCATGAGACAAGAAAGTAATTGTTCTTCTAAGTATTTATTCTCTTATTACCTACAATAATATCGTTTTAATTTTTTTTTAATTTGGTATGAATTTATTATGTATGAATAAGACATCTAAATCATTGTTCTCTCCACCTAAAAATAAACATATAATTTTAGTTTTTTATGATTGGATTTAGTATGAATATGAAAAATTAGACAAGTGACAACGAAAAAATGTGCGTAAAAAAAAAAAAAAAAACTATTGAAAAAAGAATTCATCATTATTAGAGCTCATATTTATCAATGAACAACTAATCATAACTTTTATAAGTAGTCACATTAATACAACAAGTACACCCAATTTACACAAAATATAATAATTATTTATAATCCAAGTCAATCCCTTAAACTCACGAGCTTATCCTAATAATAACAATTAACATAATAATCTTTCTTATTATTGATTCATTTCTCTCTCCTAGTTTCATCTTCCCTCTATATATAACAAGCAGAATTGTACCCTTTGAAGAAGTCCCAAAAGTTTCATCATCTTCTCCCATAATACTAAAAGCAAAATAAAATAAACCATAAATTCCCATTTCCATTTTGCTTGGTTAAAATAAGAAATATCTTCTTTGCCTATTTTAGACCACAAAATTTCAAAATTCATTACAAAAACATCCGACAACCTTTTCTTTCCATTTATCATCAGTTTTCATAGATATATTACTTTCAATCACAGAACTTTAATTTTGTTCTTTCTCATTTTTATTTTTGTCTTAAATTAAATAAAAAAAAATTCAAAAGCTGAAGTGTCAATTTCTTCGATTCGTTTTGCCCCAAAAATATTTGTTTTGGATCGTCTCCCTATGTTTTGCTAAGCCACCCATTACTAGTACTATCCTCTCTTTGTCTCGTCTCTTTCTTTCTCTGATCATTCTTAATTTTTCTCTCTCTTTTCTTCGTGTGAACTTATATTCAAAACCAAAAAAATTAATCTAACATTAATAATAATGATGCAATTTACTGAAATTTCAAATTTCCCAACACCAAACACAATTTCTCTCCATCAAACTACAACCATGATGAATAGAATTAGGCCTTGGCCTGGTTTTAGGACTTCGAAACAAAACACTTCCTCTTCTTCTTCTTCATCGTCTTTAAACAATAATAATAGTATTAATAATTATAATTTAGGTGATGCTAATTGTATGGAACAACTTTTAGTACATTGTGCTCAAGCTATTGATAACACCGACGCTACTCCTGCTCAACAAATTCTGTGGGTTCTTAACAACATCGCCCCGCCTGATGGCGACTCTAATCAACGACTCACTCGCGCTTTCCTCCGCGCTCTTATCCTTCGTGCTGCTCGTACCCCCGCTTGTAAGTTCATCCTTAACTCCGCCACTAGCAACAACAACAACAACGGCAACAATATTACTACTAGTATGACTATTACTAGTAATAGTAATAATGCTAATAATAGTAATACTAGTAGTAGTATAGCTTGTGGTATGAACCTAAATATACACAAGTTCTCTCTTCTCGACTTGGCTAATTTTGTCCACTTAACACCGTGGCACCGCTTTGGGTTCACTGCGGCGAACTCGGTCATCCTAGAAGCTATTGAGGGTCGCACTGTGGTCCACATTGTGGACCTCAGTGTGACTCATTGCATGCAAATTCCTACTCTAATTGATTCCATTGCTACTCGTTACCAAGGTAGGCAACCCCCCACGGTTACACTAACCGTGGGGGCGTTTACCCAACAAGGTCCGCCCATGTTTGATTTTGTTTGTTATGATGACCTCGGTGTTAAGCTTATTAACTTCGCCCGCTCTAAGGGGGTGGTGCTCGAGTTTAAGGCTGTCCCCACCACCCCCTCAGATGGGTTTGCCTCCGTCCTAGACGAGGTTAGGACGAGGCAAGAACAAATGAGATTTCTCTATGGAAACCCTCATCATCATCATCAAGAAGAATTAGAAGAAGAAGCTTTGATCATAAATTGTCAAATGTCGTTACATTACTTAAACCACGTAGAGCCGGAAGAGGACCCTAGTGTGGTGATGTCGATGAGGTCGATGTTTTTTAAGGCATTGCGGAGTTTGGCTCCGACTATGGTGGTGGTTGTAGAGGAAGACGTAGATTTTACGTCTAGGAATTTGGTTGGAAGGCTAAGATCTGCGTTTAATTACTTTTGGATACCGTTCGATACGGTGGACACGTTCTTGCCTTGGGGGAGTAAGCAAAGAGAGTGGTACGAGGCCGATATTTGTTGGAAGATTGAGAATGTAATATCTCATGAAGGGGATCAGAGAGTGGAGAGGCAAGAGCCGAGGACACGGTGGTCACAACGGATGATGGAGGCCGAGTTTAGGGCGGTCGGGTTCATGGGAGAGGCGATGACGGAGGTGAAGGCAATGCTAGAGGAACATGCTACAGGGTGGGGGTCTAAGAAAGAAGAGGAGGATATTGTGCTCACTTGGAAAGGTCATAATGTCGTTTTTGCTACTGCTTTGGTACCTTCTTAAATTAGTTCAGTACTAATAATATGAGTAGTCATTAACATTCTTAGTCAGTGCCTGATGTTGTGTTTGATTATTAGCTAGCTTGATCCTTATTTTGGCAAAATTGATGTTATTGGCCTTATTGCTACTAATTGAGTAAATTGACGCCTAACTATTCACTGCGTCCTTATTCTAAACTGTTTCAATTTTTGAAACTTTGGAAACATGATTTTTGTCATTTGTGTAAGGTCGTGTCAATTTCTTTTAATATTTTCTTTTTTTGCCAATTATTTTTAAACTAGCTTGGTTGTTACGAGTAATCAGAACACATATGTATGTTCAAGAAATCGAATGTTGTTGATATGCCTAACCTAATATTGTTGTTCATCATATGGAAATATGCATTCCTATGTAAATAATATTGGCTGAATTGATACACCACTCAGTACAATTTATAGGGCACAAAGAAACAAATAAAAAATAGGAGTAGCATTTTAATTCCATTCGTTTAAATATATTTTTTGGATCAAACAACTGAAATTTGTCAAAGTAGTGAAGGACCAGTATAAAAAAAAGAAGCAAAGGTATAGAAAAATATCCAATGTGACAAGCAGAAATAGATAAGAAACATTAACTAGTACAGTTGTAAAATAGAGTAATATAGTGATTTGTTCAGTACCAACCTTACAAGTTTCAAAGGAAGTTGGCAAGTCCCAAAAGAATTAACCAAGTCACTTAGCTTGTGTCATATCAATCCGAATCTAGTCTAGGTTACTTTTATTCAAACTAACACCTATATCCGCGGCAAAAAGTTTGTTTACTAAGTTGCGAGATTCTTTCCCAGTTTGGCTTAGCTCTTTACGTCACAAACCAAAAAGTTTAACACATTATTGATGAGAAAGTGGTTAAACTTTGAGAGCACAGTGCAATATTAATACAAGTACTTAAATATGGTTGTTGACTTGTTGGTTGTGTCGGACTGTGTTTCTTGTCGAGCATGTGTATATTATGTTTGGGTAGGACTTATTTAAGACCAATAATCTTACTAGCTACGTGTTGGTTATACATCTTCCGTTTTTTTTAGTTGACACCATTTGACTCTTACACTATTCACAAACTACACTTTGACTAGCTTTTGTGATTTATAGCTACGATAAAATATAGTCAAGTGGGATCTTATTTGAATCGTCTCAATGTATATTTTATTAATATCCACTTTTTATAATTTTACAATGCCGAGAATTAGAGGTATTAATCGTTAAAATAGTGCGTTGGCAAGCGTGATAGTAGAATGGTGTCAACTAAATAAAAACGAGGTAGTATTTTATTAAAAAGCAGTCTTATACTCTTATCACAATTCAAGCTCATGTGCCACTGTATCGCTTCACTAATTTAATTCTGCATTGTCAGTTTGTCTTGCCAATTTATATACGTAGTAATACTTAATCTTGTCTAGGTTTTCTAAATTTTTTCACCAAGCTAAGCTTAATAATTTCATAAATTATTTGCATATCTTTACTTTCTGCCGACTTGTAATGATTATTTCTTAAGTATTTTTCATCATTTGGAAATTAGTTCCATCAAGTATATACTTGCATTATTAGAGCAATTTGTAAACGTAAGGGAAATTAAAGTAAATAAGATAGAATTAAAGAGGACCACTATTCAAGTTGCTGTCTTGCTGAAAATAGTGGACAAACATTCAGCAACGAAATGTAGGCGCTAAAGTAGCAAGGGGCAAATATAAGTGGCTAGTATCCGCAAGATTTATTGATTTTTGATAACAAAAGAGAAAAAAAAGAATGCAAATTGACAAATGAGTTCAAAAATGACATGCTATATCACATGCAAATTGAATGTGATCACTTCCAATTGCATGCCTTCGTCACGCTGAATGTGAGAGCGACCATCTTAGGATAATGGTTAGGGTTTATATGTTGGCTTTACATACACGTACAAGGAATCAAGGATATGATGCTTTTTCATTTGGATTTTAAGGATGTGGCTTATGATACGGGCCAATGACAAGCTAATTAAAGGTTATCAATTTATCATTACAAAAGTGGGCGGTGATCGAATATGTCAACCACTACTAAAACTAATTGTTCAAAATGTTTAAAAACTATGAAATTTCTTGGCTTTGATTTAGACGAAGGTGAGTAGTAATCGAAAGTCCAGGACAAAATTAATGTAGAATGAGTTCAATTTACATGAGATTTATTTATTTTAACTTTTCCAAACTTTACTAAACTTATTTTTGTCATATATTGATGAGCTTGTGTCTACTTTAGTACTTGTACGTAGGGCTGTACACCGGTCCAAAATTGGTCCGGACCTGTTAGGACCGGGACCTGAATTAGTGAATTTTGAGGACCGGAGACCGGACCTGATTCAACAGGTCCGGTTCCGGGTCAGACCTGAAAAATCAGGTCCGGTCCGGATTTGGACTTGAATAGACCTGTTTTGTATTTTAACCAAATTTAAAAGAAACCAAATATCAAGAAAACAAAAATCCCGAGTAAAAAATAAAAATCAGCCTTTGTCTTCTTTCTTTCTTATTTTCGTACAAACTCGAAACTGCAAAGTACAAACCTAAGGAAGAAAACCCACCCTCACCAGCACATCAAAACCAATCTGAACCAATTATATCAAAAACACATAAAAACAACTAAACCAATTTAAACCAATTTTCTAACACATCAAAACCAATTAAACAAAAAGGTACATGGATACTCTTCAAATGGGATAGTATTAGAAAATATTACGGTGAAGACGAAGGCACTCTCTAGGTAGTGGGCCTTGGGCTTTCTCTGACACCAGGTTCTAACTTGCGTCACAGGTTACGACCTGAGCACAGGGATAAAGGGATTTGCATTGATGCAGACTTTGCTAATACATCCTTCGACAATCTGCTAATACAGAGGGATTTGACAATCTGTCTAGCGATGGCGAAGCACTACCAGCGAGGTCGATGGCGTCCAGCGATGGCGAAGCACTACCGGCGAGGTCGATTTGAAAACTGAAGTGACGGCTGAAGCACTACCTCTGACTTTGAGAGGAGAGGAAGAAGAGGAGAAGTGGAGAAATAAGAGAAGAGCAGTGACGGCTGAACACTGAAGTTATTTTTTTTGGGTTACAAACAACAAACAAGTTGTATTTCAACTTTAAAAAAAAAATAAAAATTTAAAACACAATTTTATCAGGTTTCAGGTCTGGACCTGAAACCCCCGGTTTTAGACTGGATCTGGACCGGAACCGGAATCCCTAAATTTCAAGGACCGGGACCGGACCGGACCTGAATCTACAGGTCCGGATCAGGTCCGGTCCCAACAGGTCCGGTTTAGGTCGGTTTTCAGGTCCGGTCTCGTTTATGTACACCCCTACTTGTACGTAATACATTATACACTTACATAAAATATATTTATATCAATATACGACGATCTGAATTAATCAATGTGAATATCTTTTCTTCTTGATATTTTAGCTTAGTAAGGTTATATCGTGAACACTGTCACTCACATTTACAGTTCCATCTATAATCAATTTGAAAATTCACATATAATTTTGATAGGGTCAGGGTTTCAACACTACCCGATCTCAATATTATGGACCCATAATTCACAACAATATTTGTATAAATAAAATGTGTTGCCAAAGTGAAGCATTGCCCATACAATTTCTAGAAATAAACACAAATACTACACTAATATATCCTTTAATGACTTATGTGTAATTAACCACCAAAAGACCATTATGTGTGAGTGATTTTTTCTTTTTATTATATATAAAAAAAAAAAAAAAAAAATCTTGATCGAGTTTGACTTCCAATTTCCAACATATCTGAGTTAACAAAGAATGACAACAAATGATTGGATTTTGTTCCAATCAAAGGTAAACAAAGACACAACATATCATCATATCATACACATTGACAATTCAATCCTTACCTTAAAAATTAAACCCACGTGCGTTTTAAACTTTGACCTCCTTGTGACTTTCAGAACCTTTTTAGTCTCTCTCTCTTTACAACCCGTAAAATTGCCCTAAACTAATTTCCCCTTTTTTCTCTCTCTTCCCGCTTTCGCGATAACTCTGATTAAGCAGCTCATCTAATTTTCTACTTTCATTTTCATCAAATTTCTGCATTCTTCTTAACTTATTCAGGTTAGTCCGCTTTTAATATCTCTTTTTTGTTCTGTTTATGAATTTGATTTTTTCGATCCCAAATTTGGTATTCTAGGGTTTTTGATCTTTTTGATCGAACTTTGAATTTGCTTTATTGGGTGTTGGAATTTTGATTTGGTTCTTGAATTGCTTGGTTATTGATGATTTGTAGCTTAATTCTTGTGATTTAAGTTGAATTTGAGATGAATTTCTAATTTTGCTGGCGAATTCTTTCGCTGCTTGAATATGAACCCTAATTTGAGGTTTTTAATGTTGATAGTTGGTTGTTTGATGAAAAGGTTGAGCTTAATTCTGATATGGGTTTTGTTTGTTTTTGTTTGTGGATTCAGTATTCTGGGTTTATTCGACAACACTGTTGTTCTTGCTCGATGGCTGATCCAATTAGAAGATTAGGGTTTGGAATTTTAATAATAGACGCTGTTTCTTTTTGAAGTGCGATTTATAATTTCTGTGGAATTAGGGTTTTAATTTTTGATGGTTGTAAGAAATATGGAAATCAAAATGCCGGGTGATCGGCGTTTTGATAGGATTGACATATTAGAGATCAAAATTCAGATTTGTAGGAAAGTAGGAAGTCAGAGGGCTGAGAAGTACTTTGGTCTGTTGGACAGCTTTTTTGGCCTCAAAATCGGTAAGTCCGAGTTTGATAAAAGCTGCATTGCTGCAATTGGGCCGGAAAACATTAGCCTGCACAATCGCCTGATTACATCCATTCTTAAGAATGCTTGTCAATCAAAGACACCTCCCTCGAAAAGAAGCAAATTGGAGAGTCCCGTTGTTGATAAGGTTGCTAATGGGTATCAAAGAAGTTGCCTTCAATCTCTCTGTAGGGATGTGTTGCCATTGTCTCCACGCAAAGGAAGGACTCCTTGTTTCCGTGATCGTAAAAGCAAGGACCGTCCCAGCCCACTTGGCCCTCATGGGAAGCCCAATGCTGTTGAGGCGTGTAAGGATTTGGGCCATAAGACTCTAGAGCAGCAAAGTGCTACAGAGTTGCTGTCTTTAGGTAGCAGACCTATTGAGGTCAACTCCGTGGAAGATGGGGAAGAAGTTGATCAGGCAGCAATTAGCCCGGGAATTCACAGCAGGAGTCCTGTCACACCACCTCTAGGAATTCCTTGGAATGGAAAAGGAAACCGGAAAGTTATCAGCAGTTTATCATCGTCTAGTTTATCATCTTCTAGAATTCCTGTTGAATCGTGTCATGGAGTTGGCGAGCTACCCAACACAAGCTCTTTAAGGAAGCGATTGGAGCAGAAATTGGAAAAGGAAGGGTTGAGCATTTCACTGGATTGTGTGAATCTGTTGAACAATGGGTTGGATAGTTACTTAAAGAGGTTGATAAAGCCCTCACTAGAATTGGCTAGTTTAAGGAATGGAAGCAAACGACAAAATATGAGTGCTGAGGGTGTTCATGGCCTAAATGGACTTTGGCCTGTAAAATGCTTACAAAGTCCATCCATGTCTCCTACTGTTTCTCTTTTGGACTTTCGAACTGCTATGGAGTTGAATCCACAAGTACTTGGAGAAGATTGGCCAACGCAGCTCGAGAAGGTCTGCCTTCAAGAGTTTGAAAGTGGGGTTAGTGATTAGTTTGGAGAAGACATGGTGGGGTAAAATATGTTTTTGATAGGAACGAGGTGCTGCTTTGTTGATAGAATAACCTCTAACATTGATTTAAACCTCAGTAGATTTATCAGCAGTGATCCAGTGTAAAATTGCCGGGAATTTTTGGATTAAATCGATTCCATTGTATATACAACATCAAAATAGTATGTAGCAGGATTATTGTTGGGGACATGGGGGTGATGAGATATAAATAGGAAAATCATTGTAAGATTTTTGTTACTAATACTATTTGGGGCTCTCTGAATAATACAAGTGTCTGATTCTTCCCACTTTTGTTCAATGCTGGGTACTGCTATTTTCCTTGCTGATTATTTCAAATATTTTCTGTTCTAAGAATTCTAATGCAGAAAGTATTTATAACTTCTGAGTTCAAACAGCTTGTCATCCTAAAGATTTTAATTGCAACACAAATCAAAAGACGTAACAGTTGAACTGAAAACAAGAAAGGTATGGATATATATTTCATTGATGCAAACAAATTGATTTTTCTTGCAAAGGAGACAAAGTTTTGCCGCACTGTTTGTTTGCTTCAATGAGTGCTTCTCAAATTTGTATATGGTCACACCAATCAAACTGTAATATGCTGCCAAATTTGATTTACATAGACAAATATATGAATTCATAGTCAGAAATGAGCACACAAACATTTTGTTGAATTTCGTTTTATCAAATAGAAAAAGGTTGAAATTTAATGAAGATGGGGATCTTATGCATCTTACTAGCATAAATTCAAGCACCAAGATTAAAAGTGGACATATTCTACACTGCATGAAAGGGTCAATTCAGACACAAAAGACCAAGATAAAACAGTTTCAGAGATCCTATAGTTGTATTGATGTCATTTTTACTTCTCAAAAACCAATTACTTCAAACTTCAAGCAATTAGGCTGATGTTATGATTCTGAAAAAGAAAAACCCAAGGGCGGGACTTGTTGGATAGTGCGAAGGTAAGAGCGCTGATCTTTGTAGAGACACTGCTGCCAAGGTACTCTCATAACCTAAATCTTTTTCATGTATTATTCATTTATGCCGACCCTGTTTCCTTAATTAAGCTCATGCATAACAGCAGGATCATGCTGAGCAGAACATTTCAATTCATTAAACCATCGAAGAGATTAGAGAAGCATCTATCTAACACTGGTAGTGTGTCAACGAGATCCCGCTTGATCAAGCCAAGAATGCTCATGTTATAGTACGCAGCATACAAGTATTCAAGCTAATTTCCTTAACAGGTAATTTCTGATTTCAACAAAAACAAAGAAGATTGTACGTTTAGGACATATTGTACAATATTGCCTTGTTTACACAATCTTTATAACTGACAAAAAGAGCTCCTTGTTGAAATCACTGAACAATTGTCGTGAAAATCTTGCAGATCCTACAATGTGAGGCATCAACAATAGCCCAAGCAACAGTGTCGTCCACACAGCAATGAGCGAAGGAATTCTCCAGGTGCACATGAATTTTTAATTTTGGACCATTAGATTCAAATTACTAGTTGAATAAGGGGTGTTTGGTATGGAGTTAGTATAGGAAACGGAATGGAAATAAAATAAGAGGGGAAAAGGTAACAAATAGTGTTACCCTTACTAGTTGTTTAACACATCAAAGGAAACGGAAACAATTATCACCATTCCGTTTCCTCTTGTTTGGTATAACAAACGGAAATGAAAAATAAGAATGAATAATACAATATTGTCTATGTTAAATATTTTACGGTTAAAAAAAAATAAAATAACCCGTATTGTATATATATATATATATATATATATATATATATATATATATATATATATATATATATATATATATATATATATATATATATATATATATATATATATATATATATATATATATATATATATATATAAAGCAAAGTTGACACTCATTAATTATCCAAACATTGACTAATAATATGTCAATCATCATATAAATAATCCCAAGACATAACCTATATTGCTCAAGTTGCATATGTTCAACAAAAAAACAAAGACATGGCAGCAAGACCTCCACTGCCATTTGGTTCATGGACTATCATTGGCCATCTACATCTTCTCAGAGAGCTTTCTCACATAATAGCACACAACCAAATGCTACTTCTTCTTAAGAAGATCAATTGCATATTGTTTTTTCATATTAAATGGTGCTTGATAGAAGATGCGAAGCTTATGTTCTTCCGCCACGAGAATAGTAGCAACCTCTAAAGCTTCGGATGGAGAAATGCCATCTAACTTCATCACCTCGTCCAATACCTTGTTCACCTTTTCATCCATCCTTTGCTCCCTTTCTTCCGCTTTAGACCATGCACTAGCCATAGTCCCGAGATTAACATTGATATTTTCAAATATCTTCCTAAAATTGTTGGAAACATCATGGAGGGAGGCCACCAAATCATCATCATCATTCCTACACAAACTCTTCAAATTTACGTTGTTATTTCCTTTCACCTTAGTCTCCTTCGCCTTTATAGAGCGTTTTCCGGATTGAGTAGTAGAATCACTTGCGGAAGAATGAATAGTAAAAGCCTTCACTTTTGCCATTTTTGAAGGAGTTATATGATCATCCTCTATCTTCATGGGGCGTTTCCCGGATTGACTTGTAGAAGAATAAGTGTCCGAATGAGTAGAATTCACATCATCTTCTTCATCACTCTCGACATCGAATGGTTGCTTATCAATCTCTTGATCCATTTCTTCTATAGCATCAACAAACGACTCACTAGCATCTCCGGTCACATGGTCTTTTGCGTATATCTCCGCAAGAGTTTCATAGTGAATGAATGGAACTCCAAACAACCCTTTAACTTTCTTATGAGTTTGCCATATAAGAGGATGCAACAAGTCAAAACATGAAAATTAGAACTGAACTAGGCAACTGATAAACTTGCACATCTCACAACATCTATGAAGATGTTTGGTGGAACTGGCAAATAGAAGAGTCGATTAGCGATTCTCCCAGCCTACATTATTGAAGGTATTGTGGTCAAATTAAAGGCTAAACATATGATCTTCATGACAATAGTGTTGACATTCTTAACAAGGTTCTTGTAGGCTGCTATAAAAAAAAAAAAGAAATCTAAAACAAAATTACACTATTATAAGTAAAATCTCTACAGAGACCAACTAGCCATACGAAATTTCAGGCTTTTACATGACAAATCCAAATGTCAGTATCAGCTGATCAATCCTTTTCATCAGTAACACCTTTTGAAAACCTTGTGTTACTTAGTATTTCTCTAGCTATCTATGTTAAGTCTACCTGTTATGGTCGTATAGGTATTGTAAAGTTGTATTTGGATTAGGCCTGATCAAACGTCGGGCCAGGCCGTGTTCGGGTCGGGCCACTTTGCTGTTTTCTGCCCATTTTCTCGGGTCGGGCCAGGATTTGGGCCAAAATGTTGCTGCCCAAACCCGTCCCATTCGGGCCTACTGGGCCATTTCGGGCCTGCTTATCTAAACACTCTAAAGTCATCAACTTTAATTATTTTTTGTAATTTAAAGTTTGTTAGTGCATAAAATTATAAATTTTATTTTTTTAACTAAACTAGTACAAATAAATAATAAAAGTTTTGAATATGGAAGTACAACAAAGCCTACAAATATTAAAAAAAAGTACAATCCAAGTTCCAACAAAGTTTAAGTTAACATACCAATGTCCAAAACACACAATATTGAAAATTATACTAGAGTTAAATTATAAAACTAATCAACTTCAATAGTCTCGCGTTGATCTTTGTTTTGCTCATCTTCATCTTCTTCGTCTTCATAATTGGGATCTTGAGGTGAGAAAATATTTGATCCGCCTTGATAAATATGTTGAGATCTAAAGTTATTAGCTAGATTCGACGGAGAACACAGAATAATTATCACAAGAGCTTTTTAAGAACTAATTAATTCAAGCATAATTCAAATTCAAGAAATTAGTACTCCAATCCAGAAATTAATACTCCAATTTCTAGAAATTAAGAACCCTAAATTGAAAATGCTGACAATTGAAAATTAGAACTCAAGCACATCTTACGGTCTTACCTCAAAAGCCGCTTAAATGGAGGAGAGAGAGCTCAGAAGGCGCTTCAATGGAGAACACTGAAGGCGCATCAATGGAGAACTCAGAAGGCGCTTCAATGGAGAACTCAGAAGGCGCATCAATGGAGAACTCATAAGGCGCTTCAATGGAGAACTCAGAAGGCGCTCAAAAGGTGTGGAAGATTGAGATGGAGAAATTAAAGAAATGAAAATCTGAGAAGGAGAGTAAGGAAGAGGGAGTGACCAAGTGACGACTGTTAGGATAAACCGAGAAAATGAGAAATGAAAAGACTTAGGCTGTTAGGGTTTAGGTTTAATTTGATATTCTGAAAATAAAAAAATTGGACACCTCTTTTTTACGGGCCGGGCCGGCGCAGCTCGCGGGCCAGACCTGCTGCCCATACCCGCCCAGAATTTTTTCAGGCCTATTTTCCCTTGCCCAAACCCGCATTTCGGGCTCAAAAATTCTGCCCAAACCCGGGCAAATTCCGGGCCGGCCGGGCCATACTTGATCATGTCTAATTTGGATGGCTTTGAGCTGCTCCTGCTGCACTCAATCTTTCTTTTGCTCTGATGGCTTCTGTCAAAATTATGTCCTAAAATTATCTCCCTTGCAACCTATTCCCCTCCCTGCCCCCCTTCCCTGCACACTGCCCCTAACCCCTAGCTGAACACCTACCCCTCTCCCCCTGTCACCTATTCCCCTCCCTTCCCCCTTCCCTTACACACACTGCTTCTCTCCCTACTTCTCTCATAATCACTATAAGTAGTGCCTTTGAAGAAAAGCACTACTTCAGAAAAAATAAATCTTAATTTGGACTATCATCAAAACTCGTGAAATCTGGACAGAAACTATTCTAGATCATTTACATGGATGAAACACCTATATCAAGCAGCATATTATCACAGAATCAGAAACTTAATTGACAACCAGATTAATGCAGAAGCAGTGGCAGTGAGTTAACAGCAATTATAGAAGACTAAAGAGGGTGCAGACTACATATGAGCTCAGGTCATATGAGCTGTCCAGCAGCAGTTCTACATTGGCCTTTAATAGCATTACAATCTTCAGAAGAAGAAAAAAATGAACAAAGAGGAATGAAATAGCAGTTCATACCTTCACCCATTCATCGTAAACGACCTTGTCTACTTTCAACAATTTCTTTTCAGCATCCCATCCATATCCTGAGGTGGATAGCATTTCTGTAAATGCACTATATTTCTCCGACCAATGCTTGATCCTCGATTGACTCAATGTGGGGAACCGCTCTCAAGCCACAATTAGGAAGTACACCATTGATCATCTCTTCCAACTTATTCATGTAATCATTCTTAAACCCATTCTCACACTTTCACTTCGGATCGCAACTCAACTCATGCAAATATCTTATTAGAACCGCATCTCCTTCATATGTCCAATACCTTTTATTTTTACCTCATCCTTGATTGCTAGCCTCGATCCTAAACAAATTGTAGATTAGAAATGAATATAAAATAAGTTAAATTAGAAATGAACATAACATAAGGCAGATTAGAAATAACAGAAGGCAGATTAGAAATAAACAGATAAGAAGGCAGATTAGAAATGAACAGAACAAAAGGCAGATTCAAAGTGGCAGTGGCTTCAAAATGAACAAAAACTGAAAAATACACCTATATATATAATGTAATCGAAGGGAAAAAAAATCATACATTTTTTGCTATTGACCATGTCTACCTCTCGCCCTCCAATCATTAAACATATCTTGGTCTAATTTGTTTCTAAAATTGGTCCAGTGATCTGAAGTAGCAACACTTGTAATAAATTCCCTTTCATCATTGGAATCTCTTTCGGAATCATCATCGGATTCATTCAATTCATCTTCATTTATATCATCTCTAGGCATGAATTTTCTAATTAGATTATGCAATAAGCAACAAGCCATCACGATACGTCCATGAGTTCTTATAGGGAAAAATGAAGGACTTCTAAGAATACTCCATCTTCCTTTAAGTAGGCCAAAATATCTCTCAATCACATTTCGCGCCCTAGCATGTTTCATGTTATAGAACTCCTCGGCACTTTCGGGTTGTCGATCCGTCCATTCTTTTAAATGGTATCTTTGACCTCTATATGGAGCAAGAAAGCCCTCACAATTCGTATATCCCGCATCAACCAAATTATAATTACCTTCAAAGTTATTAAAGAAAAGGATTACTACCTACCAAAACTAAAAAAACTTATACACTCACAAAAGAATGAGCTTCACTTACCTCGAGGTACCCTAAAACCATTTGGGCTAGAGAGAGCATAGCGAAGTACACGCATATCATGGGTTGAACCTTCCCAACCAGGAAGAACATAAATAAATTGCAAATTGGGTGCACAAACACCCAATACATTCATAGCAATTGTTCCTTTTCTTGTTCTATACTTTGTTCGTTCTTGTGAAGGCACATTTACATTAATGTAAGTCCCATCTAATGCCCCTAAACAATTCTACAAAAATAAGAAAAAATATTAAGAAAATCCTACCAAAATTTAGGTGCTTAGAAAAGACCAATACCTTGAAAAATTTCCACCTTTCATCTTCACAATCATCCAATATTGGTGTGGGATTGTAAAGTAATACTTCGTGTAATTTGAGAAAAGCCCTTAGACAAAGGTGAAATTGTCGGCTCACGGTTTCTCCACTTCTAAAGAAATATTGTCCAATAGACCTATTCTCCTTATGGTGAGCCAACGTGTATAAAAACATGGCTACGATCTCTTGAAACGACATGTTTTTTGTTCCACTCAAACCCTCAATGTCTCTAAGCATCTCACAAATAATATTGAAAGTTTTTCTATTAACGCGAAACTCACTGTTGCATTTCACATCACTCTCTCTATAAAGCCCTCTCAAAACTAATATTCGTAGCAACTTTTTGTTTCTTTTTCTTTCTTTCAATTGAACACCCTTTATTGTAACAACACAAATCATATGCCACATCCAATACATCATCAAAATAATAATAACCATTGAAATTACTAGTTGTATTTGTTTTAGCTTTTTCTTCCTTATGGAACGCATAAGTCGAGGCATTGTAGAAACCTTGAAAAACCAGTCCAAAAAATATACAATAGTATCAATATATTACCCATCAAAAACCATTAAAATACAAGAAACAGAGAAAATAAATCGCAATTGAACCTGATAAACAGCAAAACAACAGCAATCAACAAAGAATGCTCCACCAATCACGCAGATTAGCAAATAAAACATTGTAATTATATCAATATCTAGTTAATCAACAAAGAATGCTCCACCAATAACGCAGATTAGCAAATACAACATTGTAATTATATCTAAATCAGAGTCATTGATATTGTCGAGCAAGTATAGCAATAATCAACAATTATAGCAATAATAGCAATATATAATTATATACCATCAAATTCAGCAGAAAATCAACAAAAGATAAAAAAAAAATTCAATCGAACAAACAAGTATAGAATTCAAACCAGAAACGACAAAATTGATATCGCATGAACCCTAGAAATTGAACGAGAGAAATGAAGATAGCAAACCTGATAATTTTTGAAGATTTGCAGTAGAAACTTGAAAATTTAGGAGCAAGATCTGGAGAATTGCAACTTTCCTTGTAGAATTGTCGAACAACTTTGGGAATTTTCAGATAATCGAGCGAGCAAAGAGGAGAGAGAAGAGTTTTCTTTATTTTTTTGTGTTAGAGGAAGGAAAGAGAATCTGTTTCCTCACTCATTACAGCGGAAACAATTGGGTGGAAATGGTTACCACTTACTAACGGTTTGCGTTACTTTAGTCCGTAACCAAACACAATGTAATGGAAACACTAACATGATTCCGTATCCACCCCTTTAAAAAACCTATACCAAACACCCCCTAAGTGTTATTCATATGAAATATAAACCCCGGTTCAATGTTGACCGAGTACTTCATAATGAATTGGATGTTGGTGGCTACTGGTTTAAGACTTTTAGGTCAAGTCAACAATCATTTACAAGTACTCTATTTAATTACTGTAATTTGATGAAAATTTCATCAGAAATCTGAATATCAATGACATTAGTTGAGTACCTTTTGTACTCTTTTAGCAGATTGTACCTTCTGTTCAGTTACAAAACTTACAACTAAGTAATCTCACTTTATTTACACCCTGACTCAATATCAGAATGGAATTTGTCAAGCGTCGCGCATTTTCTACTTAAGGAGTTTAGTTGTTGGCTGTTGTCACATTTAAATCTATTTTGTACATAGAGGTATATAAGAGATTCGGGAGGTCCTCCTGGTGTAATAAATTGATTTAAGATAATATATCGCTTGTAAGTTATTCAAACTCTCTCTTGCATCGTTAGACTTAACTCGAACTCATGATGATTGTAGGGACAAACCTAATTGAGCTAGAAAATCTTTTGATTGTGGCAACTCATACGTCACAAGCAGTGTTAAATCTATTATATGGTTCTATGAAATCAATTACTAAAAGTATATACTCTGAGAACAAATGCCACAATATACGTGTTTTTTTTGGGTGAAAAAGAGAGGCAAGCCTCAAGAAACGAACTACAAAGCAAACACAAAACACACAGCACACAACGACAAATAAACGTCACAATTTACTTAATATTACATTTGAGTAAAACTGTATGTCATTCTACAGAATTCAATTGAGACAAAAGTTATATTGTATTGAATAGAAAGAATGCAGTAATGGAGGAAACGAAGAAAACATATAAATTACATTACTGCACACAAATTGGGATAGATTCAGCTGAACTGCTTGTTTGCTTCTTCAATGCATGCTTTCTCAGATGTGCAAATGATCATGGAAAATTAAGGCCAATTCCAAAGTCTCCGGGTCCAATAGAATTACAATTCTGCCCAAATGATTCATGCAGACAAAATCGTGAATTCATAGAAGAGAGAGTCAAAATTAATCATTAATTTGAAGAACTTTTTACTCGAACAGAATAGATTGCAAGCAACTTTATGCTGCTACATATAATTAATAGTGGAAAAGTTCTAAGAAGAATAAAATCATATTTGAACTTATGATTAGATCGATCAACGTAAACATAGTTAGTGACAATTGATTCCCGGTGAAATTTAAAGTTAGGGAATAGGGAGTATATCAAGAATTAAGGCAAATGCAAAATAGTTACCGTGATGTTGCAGTCTCTGAAAATTTGGTCTTGAAAATTAACTTGGGCTAATTTCCGGGGAATTCTTGTTGATGCTGAAATGTGAGGCATGATTATCAATATAAACAAGAGTCCTAGCCATAGCGTAGTCCACAATGCTAAAATCAACCTGGGAAATCCAGAACACTTTAAAAATTTCTGCATTTTTGTATATAGATAGAAATCATAGGGAAATGTAATTCAATCTGTTGGAATTTTGTCCTTTCAATTGTCTAGGAATTTTGTCTTATAGCATTTATGTATTTTGAAATGGCAAAGCTGGCCAGTCCTAATTACAGTATTTAGAAATAATTTGTTTATATTTTGGTACTCATGTATGATTGCTGAATCGATCGTACTAAGCAGTATTCTTTATGCGAAGGATCTTTGGTTTGATTTTCTCTCATTTTTGCTTAAAATATAGAAAACCCAGATGGAGATTGGTTTATTGATAATTTGATAGTGACAAATAGGTAAATGAGACTTTTGTTATGGGCTACTCCGTAACCTTTGTGATTAAATTTAAAAATAGAGGGAGTATTTAAAAACAGAGGAAGAGTCAAGTTTATTGTCCATTATAGATCAAGAACAGAATGCTCTGGTGTTGTTCGTGAATAACAGAACGAAGAAGAGAAGAGGAAAATAAAATCAAATATTGAGATGATATGGGTTGCTAGGGCTCCGATACCATGTCAAGTTTTGTGTAAATGATTTCCTTGATTTGTATTCCATATCAACAGAGTATATATAATACAAGCTAAGAGTAACCTTAAGCCCAATTAGGACTTAAGTACATAAAACACTACTACACAAAATATAGCCCAACAGTATTAGTAATTATTAGATCATGACTTAAAATTTTACAAATTCACAATTTTTAGAACTTACATACCCAAAAAAAAAAAAAAAAAAAAAAAAAAGAAGTAATTCATTTTTTTAATTACTTCCTTTATTTCCAATAGAAAATTTGAACAAAAAGAATACTACTCCTAGTATACACTTATACTAGTAGCTTGCTAGCTAAAAGAGAATTCATCTAATAGAGTATTAGTTGAAGGCATCACATCGAACTCGAATATTTCCATTCTTGGAATTCTTGACTCCGACCCGACCCAATTTGATCATGGACTGGGCAAAAGCCTGTTTAAAGCTCTGTGAACTTTGGGCCCAACTTGTAACAATACCCCTGGTCCTTTTATCCGTATATAGGACTTGATCCGAAGTAAAAAGGCCCTTTCCATTTATCAAGTTTTTGTAGTAAGCGTTATCAAACACCCTAGGTGATTGTACATCCATGTTAACAGCAATTCTAGGATCCACATTTTTAGGGCACATGCTTTGCAACTGGGCAGCAAATTGCGCGTTTAGGGTTGGGTCAATCGGGTTACTTGGTGTGAACCCGTATATCCGGTTAGAGAACTTGTTGCAGTGAGAAAATCCCACCATGTGTGCCCCTATACATAATGAAAAGATTTAACAAAATGATAGAGAATTTACGTAGAATATTCGTAATAAGGTACTTTTTCGGAGTAATAATTTTGTTGTATACGGGTGCAACTATTAACTCTTTCTGTCCAATAAAGCTAATTAACAGAATTCATACAAATAATCATATGTCATTACATAAACAAATAATCATATGCCATTACATAAACAAATAATCGTTAAGTATCCTAAATAAATACAATGTAACTAATAATTACAAATATAAATAAAAACATAAGATTTTAAAAATTATCCGGACATTGATGACCTAAAACTAACACAAAATTACTAACACAAAATTCGCTTGATGGGGTTTTGTATTGATACGAAATTTTATGTGTCGTATGATGTGTTAGATCTGCATGTAAAAAAACATTTAGTACATAAAATATAAACATATAATCGTTGAGTATCCCAAATTAATACAATGTAAGTAATAATTAGAAATACTAATTTAAACATAAGATTTCAAAAATTAAGCTAAAAATTACCCGGCCATTAATGACCAAAAATTAACACAAATTTACTAACACAAAATTCGCTTGATGGGGTTTTTTTATTGATACGAAAATTTGTTTGTGTTGTATGATGTGTCAATTTATAATGGTAGGTATCACAAATTTTAATTTAATTATAATTAACGAACAATTTGTATTTCTTATCATAAAAACTATCAAAATTTATCTTATAGTGATAGGTATCAAACTTTATTATAAGCGTTTATCATTTAAATATTTTTTCGTATATTTATTTTTTGGATTTCTTATACTCGTAGTATTGAATTAATAAATTTATCTTTTCCTATATCTTTACTCTATTTTTTTTCATTAAAATAATTTAATTCGTGGATTATAATCTATGTGGCATTAAAATTTTAGATATATCAAATCTAATCCGTTAATTTATCTAGGTGGCGACATAATTTTTTAATTCAAAAATAAAATACAAATCTTTCTTCTTATTGGTCGAAATAAGTATATTTCTTATGTGGCGCTCCGAATGCTCTCCAAAAATGCCTACTTTATATATATATATATATATATATATATATATATATATATATATATATATATTAGATTAGATTATAGTTATGTTTATGTAAAGGATCTTGTCCTACATATACCTTTCTAACATAATACGGAGTATTAAATAAAACATAGATGTTTCTATTTCTATTCTCGAACCATATAAGATTTGTGATCGAGAGTGTTCATAAATAAAGATGTTTATTGATATATAAACCGAATCCAAGACTTCAACCATCAGTTTAAGTTTTTGGTTGA